CCCCAAGCCTGTAGCGCTGCTGGGGGTTGTTGTGGCCCAAGGGCAGCCCCCAGCATTTGCCCTCAGTGAAACTTCCCCAGTTGGGCTCAGCCCATGGCTCCAGCCTGGCCAGGTCTCTCTGCAGAGCCTCCCTACCCTCGAGCAGATCAACACTCCCACCCAGCTGGGTGTCATCTGCAAACTGACTGAGGGTGCCCTCGATCCCCTCGTCTAGATCATCAATAAAGATGTTAAACAGGAGTGGCCCCAACACCCAGCCCTGGGGGACACCACTCGTGACCGGCTGCCAAACGGATTTAACTCCTTTCACCACAACTCTCTGGGCCCGGCCATCCAGACAGTTTTTTACCCAGTGAAGCGTGTGTCCATCCAAGCCTCGAGCAGCCAGTTTCGCCAGGAGAATGCTGTGGGAAACAGTGTCAAAGGCCTTGCTAAAGTCAAGGTAAACAACATCCACAGCCTTTCCCTCATCCAATAAGCAGTACAAGTTATTTTATTTCCCTTCCATCACTTGCAGGGTTTTTGTGGGGCTCAGTGCTGCAGGGCAGGGTCGGTGCAGTGTCCCCCATAAACTCCCAGGGGACACTGAGCAGAGCAGCACTTCCCTGGTGCTGAGGGCTCAGGACTGTTGGAGCATCCTGAGCACTGCTGGAAGCCTGAGATGCTGCCTGGATCCCTGTGGTTTGGGAATGCTGTCCCAGGGACTAAATGTGAACTCTTAAGGTCTTTTATTTTGCCTCAGAAGGGATTAATTTAATTAACACAAGTAACCAAACATCTCACGGCACTCTATAAATAGGCTGGTGGGCTCTGACACAGCTCCTGGCTATGCCAAGAAATGTGTCTAATAATAGCTGCTTAACGATGAAGTTCAGGGGGCTGGAGAGATTATTGAGAGAAGATGCCAGGACGGGCTCAGCCCTGCAATGGCAATCAGCTGGGGAGGAGCATCTGAACAGGTTGCTGAGAAAGCATGGCTGGAGGGACCTGCTCCGCGTGGGGACCACGCATTGCCGGGTCCTCCTCCTGGGGACCATTTGGAGGGAGGCTGGAGACGAGTGATGCGCTTTTCAGCTAAAAAGCAACGATTTCCCACAGGGCCAGGGTCAGGGCCCTAGCAGCAGCCCCCACCCTGCACTGCAGCCTCCTGCGCTCTCCAGCCCCTTCCCCTCCCACTGCTCCTACTGCCAGGGAGAAATTCCCAGCTGGGCTTTTGTCACCGACGCACACGTGTTTCTGCGGGAAGTTTCTATTTCTGTGAATAGCAATTTTTCACCCCCCCCCCCCCCGCCTGCTTCCCTTCAGCAGGAGCCCTGACGAACGCCACTGGCATGCCTGGAAGCTGCGACTCACTCCCGCGTGCCAGCCCTGGCTGGAGCCTTCATCCTCCTCCTTCCCATCCGCAGCCCATCCTGCAGCACCACGGCATCAGAATTATGCTCACAGTATCTTGCAGAGGGTCAAATCAAGCTGGGACCACCCCATGCACTGGGCTCCCAGCACTCGCCATGTGCCCTGGGACACGCAGGGGCTCCTAAGAAGTGAAGGAGCTGAGCAAAAGCAGCCTTGAGAGCCTGGCTGGGGAGCCAAGCCTGCTGGAAAATCCCCAAAGCGGCAGTGCCTCTGCTTGAGGGGCACCAGAACCCCAAAGAAGGTCCTGGAGGGCTCAAACTCCCAAGGCCACAGCCTGACCCAGCTGTGCAGAGAAGGCAGCAAATGATTTTTGTCTTTGATTAAAGCCTGGAGCCAAGACTCCCCCAGTTCCTGGAGCCAAGCCCCCCACCACTGTACCAGTGCCTGCTGAGCCCTATCGCTCCTCTCCTGACACACCCCTTGCTCAAGCTGAGCCTCCCAATTTGGGACCAGGGTCTTAAGGGCACTTTGGACTCCTAATTTGCATTAGATGAAACCAACACCTGCAATACTTGCCTTGGGTCTCCATCCCACATAAGTAATTGATGCAATTGCCAAAGGAATATTAATTGCTGAAGAAAGAGAGAGCAGGTAGCCCTGCAGCCACAGAAGTGGTGGCCATGGGACGAGCTTTCTACCGTGCCTGTGTGTTGACCTTGCTGTGCTGGTGGGGTGCGGCTGTTTCTCCAAGGGAGGTGAGAAGTCAGCGTGCCATGCCCTAGCTCTGGGGACTGCAGTTGTTTTCTCCATCCCAGCAGCAGGACGGGTAAAGGCAGGGCTTCTCCCTCTGCCTGGCATTGACACCATCTGGATGGCTTCCACACGTCCAGGTCATGCTTCTCAGCATCCATGCTGCCAGGCACAGAGCTGAGAAATGAAAGAAAACAACTCAAACGATGCCGTTCTGCTGCACTGAAAGCAGTATTTAGAGTTCCCACTGCTGCTTCAGATGGAAACATGGCCTTAAAGGCTGGAAATATCAAAAACAGCTCTGGGAAGGAGAAAACGCAGACAAACTGCTGATTGCAGCTGCCTGGCTAGCAAATAAAACAAGTGCTCCCAGAGCGAGTGGCACAGGGAAAATGAGCCCTCTCTCCACTCAGGGCCAAAGGACAAAATTCCCTTCTGCTGTATGTGAACCAAGCGGCACCCGTGGGCTGTGCAGGGGATGGGATTGTAGGGCAATACCTTTGGCTGGTTGATGGGATGGTCTAGAAGTGCTTGCTGCAGTGAGAGCACTGTACTGCAAAGGCAAGGAGTCACTTAAGCCAAACCCTAGACTTCTTAGCAAAAAAGAAAATCAGGAATATGTGAACCGTCTGTTTTGTAAAGAAATAACCTTCAGGGTTTCCTCTGCTGCAACCTCAAGAAATTCCACAGCTGCTGCTGCGTGGGAGGGAGCCCAGGGAGCATATTTCCCCTCGGCGCGTGGCCGATGCTCAGGGCTGGCTGTGGCCCCCACCGGGGGAGGGCTGTGCTGAGCAGCGCAGGCTGCAGCCTCCCTGCCCTGTGCGGCCAGAGCCCCTCGCTCCGTCCCCTTCCCAGCCTGGGGTAAATGTTACTGAATTCTTACAAATCCTTCAGTTTTGCAGAGGGTCTGGGACCTTGGTAGCCCCATCCCAGAGGCCCCTGGAGCTCCCTGAAGCATTAGGAGTGCAAGGGGCACAGGGGATGTGCCAAGAGGTATTTGCTGTGCCTAGAGGTATTTTCTACTTCTAATTGCTGCCCTCTCAGCTGCAGAAAAAAATCATGGGTCTGCCAAAGGAAACAAAATATTGTTCCTGTTTTCAAGATCCAGGACAAGCAAGGGAAAAGCAACACAGACTCTTCTGAACGATAGCAAACACCATCTCCCTCTGCCTCGCTGCTGTTTAACACCCGCTGGGGCTGTTAGGAGGTGCCTGCACCCGGGTCACCGTGAAGAAAACTCCTTGGCCCAAGGCTGGGTGCAGGCCCTGCCCCGTGGGGCCTCCTGAGCCACTGCCCACTCCGGTGCCACCACTGGCCCCTGTAAAGGAGCCAAATGTGTTTTGGGGAGCTGGTGCATTGCACAGAACCCTCTGTAACACAGAACCCACCCTGCGGTGCCCTGCAGGGTCTGGCTGGGCAGGGCTGCGGGAGCAGGGCGCTCCCCAAGCACCCTGCCCAGCCTGGCACGTGTACCCCCAGGCCTTCAGCCCGCTGCTCGTGCTGAGCAGCCAGCTCCTGCCGCTGGGCACCCCACGGCGTGGGCTGCAGGCGAGGGGCTGTGCCTGCTTCGGGGCTCTGGCTCTTGGGGGACACATGAAGGGCTGAGCCCACTGCCCCCTGCCCGGCTCCTGCTGCTCCCCCTGTGACACGGCCCATCGTGGGCACCCCCAGCACGTCCAGGACAAGCAATGGAGCACTGGGGACCCGAGTCCCTCCCTGTGACCCATCCCAAGCTGGAGTGGGGAGCATTGGGGAGCACTGGGGAGCATCCGGTCCTCCCAGAACCCCATCCCAGGATAGAGCAGGGAGCACTGAGGTCCCAAGTTCCTCCCCGTGCCCCATCCCGGGCTGGAGCAAGGAGCACCAGGAAACTGTGTCCCTCCCAGTGCCGCATCCCGGGCCAGAATGGGGAGCACTGGGGAACACTCAGTCCTCCTGGTGACCCATTCCAGGGTGGAGTGGGGATCACTGGGGAACACCCGCTTCTCCCCGCACCCTGTCCCAGGATGAAGTGGGGATCACTGGGTCCCGAGTCCCTCCCCGTGCCCCATCCCAGTCTGGAGCGAGGAGCAGCAGGGAGCGGTGTTCCTTCTGGTGCCCCATCCCGGCCAGAACGGGGAGCACTGGGGAGCTTGGGGAGCACTGGGGAGCACCTGGTCCTACCAGAGCCCTATCCCAGGCTGGAGCGAGGAGCACCGGGGAACTGTGTGCCTTCCGGTGCCCCATCCCGGCCAGAACGGGGAGCACTGGGGAGCACCCGGTCCTCCTGGTGCCCCATCCCAAGCCGGAGAGGGGAGCACTGGGGAGCACCCGGTCACCCCGGCGCCCCGTCCCAGGACGGAGCGGGGAGCCCCGGGGAGCCCCGGGGAGCCAGGTCCCGCCCCAC